CTATCTATCTATCTATCTATCTATCTATCTATCTATCCATCCATCCATCCATCCATCCATCCATCCATCCATCCATCCCTTATCCTCTCTACACCCATCTTGCCAGGTGACCTTTGGTGACTTACAGCCATGGAACATAAATGCAGCATCAACCCGTAAACCAATGAAGCTCTTGGACATTCAGCTGAGAGAAAACTAAGCTAGAGGGAGACACGGGGAGGGGGGGGGGAAGGTCTTTCTGCAGAACCCCCCTTCTCCCCCTCCCCATTCCAGAGAGCCACTTCCACCCAGCCTGGCCCTGCCCCGCCCTGCCCGCCAGCCCCCTGGGGGGCACGAGGGAGCCCACCTTCTTCTTGATGAACCTCTGGACTAGCCCGGATCCGTCCATCAGGAACTTGTCTCCTCTCCGCTGGTCCACGCAGGCATGGAGGGGCTTCTTGGCCACGGCCATGATGGCCTCGGCCGCGTTGGTCGTGACGAAGTTCTTCTCGCTGTGGATGCCCATCAGTGGCCGGTCGGACTGCGGGGGCAACTTGGGTTTGCCAGGGAGCCTCTTCTCCCGCTCATACGTGCCTGCGGTCGTGGGGGGAAAGACAGAACACCCGGTTGGGGGACGGTGCAGTGGAAGTTTGGGTCGGAACCAAACCCAGCTCGTCTCCCACTTACGACCATTCATCAAGTGACCGTTCGGAGTTACGAAAAGCAACTTTTGATTATTTTTCACACTGAATGCCCGTCGTGGTATCCCCGGTTAAAACTGGGAAGCTCAGCAACCGCCACGTATTTCTGACAGTTGCAGCGTCTCCTTCTGCGACCTTACGGCAAGCAAAGTCGACGGGGAGAGCCAGATTCTATGTTAATAATGTAATAACCAGAGGGATGCACTTAATGACGGTGGCGACGAAGGTTATCAAAGGGGGCAAAACTCAGGTAACAACTGTGTTTCTGAGCCACAGAAATTTGGGGCTCAATTCTGGTCATAATTTGAGGACTATCTGTAACTGGAGTGGGGGATGGCAGGATGCACCCAACACGCCTGCTCAGTGGAAGAATGGGTGTGAAGCAGTGGGTGTGAAATTCATTTTTTTTACTACTGGTTCTGTGGGCGTGGCTTGGTGGGCGTGGCAGGGGAAGGATACTGCAAAATCCCCATTCCCTCCCCACTCTGGGGCCAGTCAGAGGTGGTAGTTGCCGGTTCTCCGAACTACCTAAGATTTCCACTACCGGTTCTCCAGGACCTGTTAGAACCGGCTGAGTTTCACCCCTGGTGTGAAGCTTGAAATAGCATCGGGGCTCCTGCCTGAGCAGGGGGTTGGACTAGAAGACCTCCAAGGTCCCTTCCAGCTCTATTCAGATTGTAAACGCAGGGGGGAAACAGCTGGGGGCGCTTCCAAAATTGTCAGGGTGAATCAAGAACACCCTGGATTTTCCTGGCGTCGTAGGGATCCCCTGTGAAAACCTCACAGCTGCTTCATGGAGCCCCATTGGGCTTCCCCCCAGCCCAGATCCAGGGGCTTTCTTTTGACCTCTAAAAGCAAATCATCCTTCTCTGGATCTCTACTGATCGCTAACACCACTCCTTTCTAGTGCTGATAACGTTGCCAAGATGGATCACGAAATGTCGGTAAGAAAACCACCCAGCTCAGTGGAAGTCTGCTCGACTGAAGAAGGAGGTTCAAGTCCCATTTCCCCGCTTCCTCCCAGGAAGGTGAGCGACGCATGGCAGAGAAAACCCGGGGCACTAACGTACATTTGGGGACCTTCTTCTTGGAGTGTTTCCGGAGGTATTCCTTCGGGCTGGGCACTTGCAACTTCGGGATGCCCATGGTTTGGCATGGCGCCTTCCTCTTCTCTTCCATTTCCCGTTGGATGGAAGACCGGAAGGTGGAGATGTACCTGCGGCGGAGAGTAACGGAGAAGGTGGGAGTGAGCAGGAAGCGGGGGTCTGCCCCAGTTGGGGATGTGGAAGGGGGGGCGTTGATTCGATGCTTCTGAAGTTCCCCAGGCTCAGGCCGGCTGGGGAAGGAGCTGGACGAAACACTCGCACATCTACACAACTCACAAAAGCTTCCACTTGGGCACCCGGATGGGACGGTTTCCCATAGTCCACAAATAGTCGGCTTCCATAGGTCCATTTAGCCCGAATATTTAGAGAACTAGCTTGGTTTGATGATTAAGGTACCAGGCTAGAAACTAGGTGATGCTGAGTTCTAGTCCCACGTTATCCGTGAAAGGCAACTGGGTGACTTTGGGCCCATCGCCAGGAGACAGTGAGTTCTAGTCTCGCCGTAGGCATGACAATTGGCTAGTGACCTAGACCCAAATCACCAGGAGGGAAGGAGTAGTAGTTTCACATCAGGCATGAAAGCCAGTGGCATTGGATGAATCACCAGGAGACGGTGAGTTCTAGACCTGCCTTAGGCATGAAAACCAGCTAGGTTTCCTCTTTTCTTTCTCCTTTCTCTCTCTCACACATTCCTCTCCCGCTCCTCCCTCCCCCTCTGTTTCTCCTCTTCTTTGTGCTCTCCTTTCTCCCTCCCCCTCTCCTCTCTCTCTTCTCCCTCTCCTTCACTCTCCTCTCTCTCTTTCTGTCTCTCTCCCTCTTTCTCTTCTTTCTCCCTCTCCCCATCCCCTCTCTCCCTCTTCTCTCTCTGCTACTCTCTCCCCCTCTCTTTCTCCTCTCCTCTCTTCTCCCTCTTTCTCTCTCTCCCCTTCCTCTCCCCCTCTCTTTCTCCTCTCTCTCTCCCTCTTTCTCCTCCTCAATCTCTTTTTCTCTCTTCCTCTTTCTCCCACACGCTTTCTTCCTCCTCTCTCTCTGCTATTCTCTGTCTCTTTCTCCCCTTTCTCTCTCTACCTCCCTCCACTCTCTCTTTTTCCTTTCTGTCTCTCTCCCTCTCCTCCCACCCCCTCTCTCCCTCTTCTCTCTCTGCTATTCTCTCCCCCTCTTTCTCCTCTTTCTCTCTCTCCCTCTCTCCTCTCTCTCTTCCTCCTTTCTCCTCCTTGAACTTTTTTCTCTCTCTTTCTCGTCTTCTTTGCACTCCCTCTATCCTCTTCCCCCTCTCTGTCTTTCTCCTCTTTATCTCTCTCCCTCTTTCCCCACCCCCTCTTCCTCTTCTCTCTCTGCTTTCCCCCTCTCTTTCTCCTCTCCTCTCTTCTCCCTCTTTCTCTCCCTCTCTCCCTCCTCTCTCTCTGCTACTCTCTCTCTTTCTCCCCTTTCTCTCTCTCCCTCTCTCTCTCTTTCTACTTTCTCTCTCTCTCCCACCCCCGCTCTCCTTCTCTCTCTCCCTCTTTCTCCTCCTTGAACTCTTCTTTCTCCCTCCCTTTCCTCTCTTTCTCTCCCCCTCTCTCCCTCTTTCTCCTCTTTCTCCCTCCCCCTCTCTCCTCTCTCTCTTTCTCCTCTATCTCTTCTCTCTCTTTCTCCTCTATCTCCCTCTTCTCCTCTCTCCCTCTCTCTCTCTGTTCACCCCTTGATTTGGCTGCCTGATGGCCATTTCAGCCTCTACCTTAACTGTCGCCGGCTGGGCTCTTCCTCCCTGGTGGGCAGCCAGTGGTAGATGCTCTCCTGCTTCTCGGATTGAGGCTGGGGGCAGAGAACCTCAGCCATTTCGGCCGGGGGGGGGGGGTCCCAGGGAAAGCCGGGCTGAAATGACAGAAGGGTGAATTTAAGGGTGGGGATTAGGGAGCTTCTCAAGTTGGGAAATTAAATGGGGGGGGGAGAAGCCAGAGCAGAAGGGGGCCCTATCCCCCCCCCACTGGGGGGGGGTCTCTCAAAGTTACAGGATGAGACCTTAAAAAGCCCCCTCAATTGTTCAATTTTTCTCCTAATTCAGCCCCCAACCCCTGAAATTGGGGGAGGAAATTTCTTGCATGGGCCCTGATTTTTGGCAAGGGAGGGGGGGCTTCCTCTCCCCACACCTCTGGAAGGAAAAGGGGCTTCCACTGTCCAGTAGTGGCAGTTAGTTCTGAGGGGGAGGAGCCTGCAGAGGCCCCACCCACAGGATTCTGGGGCTCCTGAAGGGAGCCAGAACTGCATAGGGAGGCCCATGAGTCCCTATGAACCCCCATTGGCAGGAATCCCCATAAAGTCTCAACACCCCTCCCCCAACTGGAGTATTTCATATATATCGGAATCGGGGAGGGGTGGAAAGTCCCAGCAGAACATGGGGGACCCCTGATATCCATTTTGGGCTCACTCCCCATAGCGTGACCCACAGATTAACCATCTGTAGTGGACAGTTGGGGGGGGTTCTTCTCCCCCTGGAAGGTTGAGTTAGAGGAGAAAGAGTTAGTTAGTTAGGGGGCAGAGGTGAAATCTAAATTGAAATCCCACCAGGCTCAAGGTTGATTCAGCCTCCTATCCTTCCGAGGTGGGTCAAATGAGGACCCAGATTGTTGGGGGCAAGAGCCTGACTCTGTAAACCGCTTAGAGAGGACTGTAAAAGCTCTATGAAGCGGTATATAAGTCTCAAGGGCTATTGCTATGAATTCAAACAATCCATCCACCAGAATAGAGCTGGAAGGGACCACTGAGGTCTTCTAGTCCAACCCCATCTTTGAGCAGGATAGGATATACTATTCTAGGCCCTATACTATTCTGTCTAACCATAAAAATCTCCAGTGGTGAAGCACCCATAACTTCCAGTGGCCAGCAGTTCCACTGGTTAATTGTCCTGACTGTTAGGAAGTTTCTCCTTAATTCCAGGTTGCATCTCTCCTTGATTAGTGTCCATCCATTGTTTCTCATCTTGCCCTCTGGTGCTTTGGAAAATAAGTTGACCCTCAAATACTGAAAAACTACTGTTGCGTTTTTTTTTTGGCTGGTTTTCTGGCCATTTTCTGGGCAATTTTTGGGCTATTTTTAGCCTGGATAATGGTCTGAAAACAGCCTGAAAATGGCCCAGAAAACCAACCAAAAATGGCCTTTTTTCAGGCCATTTCCCGGCGCTCTGGCGCTTGCGAAGACCAACACAGCGGAAACCAGAAGGGCAGCTGGCAAC